TCAGTTCAGGTAACATTTCTAATATTTTCCCTTATTTTTGTTTCCTCTTTTCACAAAAAATAACATAAAATCATGCTAATCATTTCATAGCATTTTCCAAACACTAGGGGAAAATACTCCCCTAGTTTTGCTTCCAAACATAAAATCATGCTAATCATTTCATAGCATTTTCCTCCCCTCTCTCGTTAATAACTTTGGCAACAAAAACAAAAACACATAAAAGTCAGGAATCATACAAATTCTAATACTCCCTTTCTTTTTTTGAGTACAAGTTATAGTCTAAACTACAAAAAAAAAAAAAAAAACTCCCTCCCCCTGTAGTTTAGACTATCGCTTAAAAAAAATATTGTGACAATTCGTCAATTTTTCTATTATTAACTAGGTTTGATTCTCTCGTTCCCCAATATCCAATATTGTCTCGCTTGTATTAAAAAAAAAAAACTATATTGTTATTACTTCAGATGATTTTAATAACAGACGAGTTGCATTAAAAAAAAAAATAATAATAATAATAGGCGAGTTTATAAATAAATTAGCCCATATTTAACCACATTGAAAAAAATAACCATTATTGAATAATAATGTTCAACTTTGAGTAAACTTAAATCCTATTTTCTGGCTCTCCCTTATCTGTGTGAAAAAAAAAATGGAGTACAGCGACAGGACACTAGAAGTGGAACTCAACTTAGCCAAATGCCTGAAAGACGTGAACTTTTTTACCAAGATGTCCGTATGCACCGTCGTTTCTATCAGGGGTGGCAACAATATTCTTTTCCAAGGTAAAAATTACAATTAATTAAGTGACAAAATCTATCAATTTAACTTGGATTTTGACTCATGAGTTGCCTTGACGGTGAGTCGTTGACGATGAATTAGATTTTATAATTTCAATGCTAGTATGGGTAGTTTTAGAGTACAATTATTTGGTATAATTTGTTCACTAATTATGATATAAATGAGTATTTATTAATTTATTCTAAAAGTATGAAATATAAACCCTATTGTTCACCCATTTATAACACCGTGAACGAATTATGTTATGTGACCGTATTCTAGTATCATACTATTCAAGCGTTTTCCCCTCTCTTTTAACCTTCTTCTATGCTCAGAAAAGACAAGTTAACCTGAACTTTTTTTCTTTTTTCTTAAAATTTGTAATCTTTTAACAACATTCAGTCATTTGCATTATTACTTCGTACATGATTTTAAGAGCATGCGTTTGAAAGAAATTAGCCCAAATTTTAGCCCCATAGTACATAGGCCAAGCGGTTGCTCCCCTGAAAGATCTTTTCGACATCACACAGGCAGACGAGGTCAAAGACGAGGACGAGGTAGCTCCCCTGGACCAGACATTCGTCCATGGTGAACTGCATGGGCATGTTGATCCACGATGGGATGAGTGCCGCAGTTTCGGACCACTGGAGTTTATGAGTCTCTGCTCCCCCGTGTGAGTCGCCGCCCTGGATGGAAACGACACTGCATATACGGACATCTTGGTAAAGAGTTTCATGTCTTTCAAGTCTATGGCTAATGGTTGAGTTGAGTTCCACTGCTATAGGGTCCTGTACTCCATTAACATTTGTGGGGAGCTTATAATCAGGGAAAAAGTGACCGTTGCACTGCCGCGGGGATACATTTACAAGTACCGGTACCGCGCCAGAATACCCTGCTAATGGTTGAGTTGAGTTCCACTGCTATAGGGTCCTGTACTCCATTAACATTTGTGGGGAGCTTATAATCAGGGAAAAAGTGACCGTTGCACTGCCGCGGGGATACATTTACAAGTACCCGGTACCGCGCCAGAATACCCTCCCCTGGCCGTGGGGCAACGCCAGCAACTCCGAGCCCACCGGCGTATTGGTCTGCTGCTGAGGATAACTCTGTTCGTATTTAGTGTTGGTGTTTGTGGTGGTTGCGGCGGCTGTTGTTAATTTTTGGATTGTATGTTCCTCTCTCTTAAATCATTCTCTAAACTTAACCTATGAAGTGTGAAAGTCAAATTTCGAATGTTATGTGATTTGGAGAGCTAGAAGGGTTTGCTCCCAAAAAAAGGTCCAAGTTAGTGTATCGAAAATTTCTTAGTCATCGATTTTGTTTCGTAACTTTCATTTATACCCCCCGTATTGCATTCAATGTAATATGTTGAGCGCATAGGAGAATTTATCATAATTAAGTTGTTCCAATTGGCATGAACTTAGAGGCTGCATGTGCTGCATGCTTGTGCTTGAAGGTATATACACAGACTTGGTGCTGAGCTTGGCTTGATGCCCAGGGCCAAAGTTTAAGAATGTGCCCTTTATAAATAAATATAATGAAATCTTATGCTTCACCTTCATATGCACCTACAAAATAAAAATAGCAATGAAATTCTAATCACAAAAGATCATTTAAAATGTCTTCTTGTTGCAGTTTTAGAAGCAAAATCATCAATTATATTATCATATTTAATGTTTTCCAACGTATCTCTTTCAATGCATAATATAGCTAGTCCATTTAGTCTATCTTGAGCCATGGTGGTCCGCAAATAAAATTTTAATAATTTTAATTTAGAAAAACTTCTTTTTTAAGATGCCACAGTCACAGATATAGTCAGTAATATCCTATAAGCAATTATTACATTTGGAAACATATCCCAATTTCGGAGAGAATAATCAGGTTCCAACTCAAAGTATGGCTTTGTTCCTTCCACACTTAGTTTCAAAGAGAATTAGAATTTAAAATCGATTTCATGGCAAAGCAGCAGATGGAGAGGTTTTGCTTCTCGAGAAAACAATAAGGATGTTGACTTCCTTTTCTTCTAGATCTGTTGGCATCCTTCTTTTTATTATTGTTTTATAATACCAAGTAAAACTCTCAACTAATATCACATATGCCCTTTCACTTTTAGTTTTTATTTTATTTTTTCATATATATATATATATGGACTAATAAATGTTTGTGTGCCCCAATCAATTGTGGGCCCTGGGCAATGGCCCTAGTTGCCCTAACCAAGGGCCGGCCCTACATGTGTGTCTATCTTAGTTCTTAGAGGCTGATGCAAAGGCGGCAACATGGGCAGAACCATAGCCAAGGCTGTGGTGGGCTATAGCCTAGGGAAGTTTTGAAGAAAATAAAATAAAATAAACCTATATCTATATGGCCCACTACAATAATAAACCAATATCTCTTTTCTTTTCTTTTTTGGAAACTATCTGTTACCTTTGACAAAAGGATTTTGAATAAGGAAAAAAAAAGCCTATATGGTTCACCATCAACTACAACACATTAGGGAAATATATATTTTTTTTTGTAAGTACCATGAGGTGTCCGGGCAGCTTGCGCGCACCTCGACTAATCCCCACTCGCGGAACTGAGCCTGCCGCTGGCCACCAGGTGTTGCAACTATTGGGATTCGAACTAGGGAGCAAACCCAGCTGAACCCCCGAGCCTTACCCAAATGGAGGACAAACCAGTGGGCCACTCTCAATTTAAATTGTATTCTCTTTTAAGAATTGAACAATATGTTAACCCAATTCTATTATTCTTGTGTTTACAACTAATATATAAATGAAACATAATTATTTATATTTTTTCACTTTGTATTTGTGAAGCTTATTTGGTTGATGGCAATAAATTTTTAGGGATTCACACTGCAAATGTAAGATATATATATATATTTTTTAATAAAAAAATCATTAGATTTTAAGCTAAAAATTTTAACCAGCCCACCTATTTAAAAATTGATGGTTCAGCACTTGGGTGGCAATGCAATCATGTGTCCCATATATTGTCCTAATTCTGATACATATGTCTTCACCCTAATGAAGGAACAATACTGCTTTCAAACTATTCGTCTTGATGATGATAATGCGGCTTTAAGGGCTCATTAACTCACTAAATTTAACCAGCGTGTGTTGCCTTCTCTGAATATTCTTTTTATGTGATATCTCTCATTTGACGATCATCTCTCCTCCATCATTTCCTCTTCAGATTGATATCAAACAAGTTTTGTTGGCTCATTGTATCATGGAGGAGGAGAGAGATATTCATATGAGATGAATGTTTTTAGTGTAATGGTAAAGATGTCTTTGATATTTATAGAAAAATTGATGACATCTGAGATAAGAATCAGGGAGTTGAGATGAAGATACGAGAATCTGATCCAACAGTTTAAGATGATATCACATCCTGTCATGTCGGATCTTGAATTGTGTGAAAAAACGTGATAAGAAAACAACAATTCAGATTAAATGTACTTTACAATCCAACGGTTCTTATTGGATGCTCTTAATCGCTTGAGCTACAAATCCATTGATACATGTACAAGCTGATCATAAAATTCTATATGTAAATTTGAATCCCTCTATCTATGATTGAAAAAATGGATCAAGAGTATTTTGTGACTTTCATTCTCAACAACGGGCATTGAAATCTCATGTTTCTTTAACTTATTACGTGAATCAAATACATACTGAAATTGTTGTTACTTTATCATTCTTTAGAAAGATAAATATTATAAGTAACTAACAAGTAAAAGTTGAAAATGACTTATAACTCAAGTGATTAAGAGTATATGTATCCATCCATGTATCCAAAGTTGTGTGTTTGATTGGCCATTTCTCAATATAAAAATAAAAACAAAAAACAATAACAATAACACAAATAAAAATAAAAAGGAGAATTTGGATGCAAATGATTCTCTTTTTTTTTTCTTTTTTTTTTCTTTTTTTTTTTGTATTACCCTCCTTCTTATGTTTAAAACAAAGACTAGTCAACCATATATTTTTTAGATTTTTGTAACAACATAGACTCGTGTATGATAATATATAATACTAATTACATTCTTATTACGATTTTAATAATGAATCCGTTTTTAAACAAATTAGCCACAAAAAAAAGCCATTACTGAAAGAATCATGTTTAACTTTAACCAAAATACTCGAATTATTATTTTAGCCGCTTTGAGTACATATATACTTGAATTAATCCCTCTCTCTCTCTCTCTCTCTCTCTGTGAAAAAGATGGAGAAGAGGACGGTACAACTGGAACTCATCTCAGCCAAAGACCTCAAAGATGTCAATTTCTTTACCAAGATGTCAGTATACGCCGTAGTTTCTGTCCTCGGCTGCGACCCCCGCAGCCAGCAGAAAACCAAAACCTTGGCGGTCCGAAACTGCGGCACTCATCCCAAGTGGAACAACTTTCCCATGAACTTCACCGTCGACGAGTGCCTGGCCCAGCAGAACCGCCTCGCCCTCCTCTTCAGGCTCGTCTGCAAGCACCGCCTCCTCGGCGACAAGGACATAGGCCAAGTCGTTGCTCCCATTAAGGAGCTTTTCGATGCCATGGCTGACCCCAGTAAGTGCACCATGACGTTTGCGGCTTACCAGATTGTCAGAAAACCATCAGGAAAGCCCAAAGGTGAACTCCACTTCTCTTACAAGTTCAGCGATAAAGTCACCGTTGCACCGGCGGCCCCCCCGCACGCTCCACTGCTTTATGCACCACCGCCGCATCATCTGCTGATGGATGCTCAGCAACCGTATGCTCAGCCGCCGTATGTTCACCCGCCATATGCTCCGCCACCGTATGATCCTCTTCTGCCTCCGATTGCTCTGCCGCCACGCGGATATGATTACACTCCTTCAGCACCACCGGAATAGCGATACCCAATCTCGAGCCCGATAGATGAATGGAATTACTAAAAAGATCAATGAGAATTGGGTATTGATGTCCACACAGAAGGAGCTTGTATTGATATGGTGCTCACAAAATGGTTTATATTGGTACTTTAGAAATATGTAACTATTTACTCGTGGCGGCTGTGTTGCTAGTCTTGGTTGTTGTTGCGGTGGTGGTTGTGGTGGCGGTGGTTATGGTGGCATAGTTGTAGTTCTTAATTTTTGAATGTCATTTTTTTAGTAAGCATCTCCAATTCTTCGTCAAATTCTTTCCCACTTCCACTTTTAAATTTAGGATAAAATGACGTAAGGTGTGTTCCAATTAGACTTGTAATGGGTCGGATTCAGATTGGATATACCTCAATCCAAATTCGAATTCATTTATTTATAATTGGATTATCTTATTCGGATCGTATTTGGACTATCGGATTCGGATTGCACCTATCAATCCATATTTGTTACAAATCGAATTCAGATCTGATCGGATTATTATCGAATTTATTTTGAGATGTACAAAAAATCAAAATTTCATTAGTAGCGTCATTCTTTTATTGTCTTTACCCACTTTTTATATCAATTTTTGATATTTTATCATAAAAATTAGTTTTAAGTGTAATCTTAGTGCATATAAAACTAAAATAACTCATTTACACTTATAAAATATTAATATAAAGCATAAAAAAAACTAAATTATACTTCACATTAAGTCGGATCGGATCAACTATAATAATCCATATATGAATCCATTTATAATCAGATTATCATATTCAGATTGTAATCGGATTATCGGATTCAAAAATGCAATCCATCTCCTATTAATTACCGGATTTTGATCAAAATTCCATCCATTGACAGTATAACTCCAATCCATCCTTATACTTTCCTCAAATTTTAGAAATCCCAAAAATAATTTATCATATTAAGTTGCATGTTTGGAGATCCCCAAATTATGCTAAATTTTGAAGGGAATTGAGTTTTGGAGGGAACACATAATTAAATGGTATTTTTAAGATATAAGAAACAGATTAGATTTTTTACAAGGATTTGGTGTTAAATTTTACGCTTGCATACGCAGTGGTCGTCTCCAAATTTTAGTCTTTACTCAAATCCATCGTCAAACTTGAGTATAAAATGGGGAAGGGCTTGGAGTAGTTGTCTTTTAGATCGTTTTGTTTGTTTGATGGGAAAAGTTGGATTTTAACTTTTATAAATCCGAATCTGATTATATTTGTCAATAGATTGTGACTTGCATCTACTCTACAACTACATTCCTCGGTTGGCTCGAAGTTGATCCATCCATATAGATCGTTCCAATTTGAACAAACTATGCGAGGCCGGCAGAAGTTGAATAGAAATAAAATAATAAGCTAATCTAAGACGCCATCAAATTCTGGTTCAACAATCTGTGGGTGTGGCCATCCTCCATTGGTGGTGCTCACAAACAGCAGCCCTATCTATCTTCGAATGTAAGAGATGTGTTTCGCCCATCAATATTATAACCTTTCCCTCTCTTTAATTAATTATATGATTATTTGTTACTTATTTCTTTAATCTAGGCTGGTTTTCAATTCAGCCGTCTTTGTAAGTGTTATCGTCAAATGATCGACATGATTGCATGATAAATGCTATTATCAATGACTCAGATTCTATTATGCGTCCACGCACGACTGACGGTAGCACAACTCAAAAAAGTATAAATAAGTACTTCAAAAACAATACGTAATATAAAACTTCAAAAACAATGTGAACAGATAATGCCTCAATTCTCCAAGGGATTAATTGCTTCTTAAATATATGTTTGCAACAGTAAGAAAATTGTCAATTATGTTGTTCAACAGCCATTTGGGCAGATATGCCTTCAAATATAACGACATGGGAGCTGACCACCTTCAATTCAAGATACGGTCTTGAGGGAGGAGATACGGTCATGAGGCACAGAAGCATTCTGGGCTAGCTTTTTGGAGTTTGGGCCTTTGCTTCTCATTGTACTAAGATCCCTCAAAGATTCTTTGGATTTTGTCTAACAGGAAGTTGATCCTCGAGCTCCTTTGTCCATGTTCTTATGCAAGCCCAATTACATGTTTTTTCATATCTCGATTTTATGTTTAAAACAGTTTACTAATTTATAAATTCTTTAATTCAGGGAAGAATTTATGTATTTTAGTTTCACGTTCTTCTTTCTTTATTTCTCTCGTCACGTGTGTTATGTATGTGAATCTTTTATCATTGAGGGCTTGTTTGATAGGAAGAACTAGATTGGACTAGACTATACTAGAAAAATGCATATATTTCTTGTGTGTTCAAGGTATAATATGGATATACAAGGCATCCTGAATAAAAAAATACAAATACAATGGTTAGCCTCTCAATTCAAAATTCCAATTCCCATTTTAAATGCTTAATTTGGGGAAATCCCCATTATAGCAATTATTTTGTAACCATCTTATTTGTAATATCAAAATGAAGACTTTTAAAATAATGTACATGACATATTATGTATCTTTTTTTTTAGTTTACATATATTATGTATGGCTGCACACTCAAGGACAAGCATTTTTCAGGTCAAGTATATATTTTTCCTTTTCCTTTCCCTTTTGGAACCAACTCAAGGTAAGGCCATTAATCAAATATGAAAGGGTGTTATTGCTTGGCCTATTATTCTAAAATTAATAGGACTTTGTCCTCCTCCATATATATATATATATATATACATAAATTTTCTTATGTGGATGGATAGATGTTATCATCGTGTGGACGTCATGTATTTTCTATTACCTCTCTTTGCTTTCCTCTCTAATTACAATGACATTCGCACGATAATATCCCAAAAAAAATATCTATATATGGTCACTGCAGAAAGTAATCAAGAATAGTATTATTAGAATATCAACCTCTAATTGGCTGATTTTGTTGCTTTCATCTGAGGGTGAAGTGTATGGAAGACAACGTCGACTAGGAATTTTGGCATTATTTAGCACATTGCTTCTTTTTTTTTTTTCTGTCGAAGAAGCACATAGCTTGTATACCAAACCAAAAGCAAAATACGTTTTTTCTAGAAGAAAAAATGACGACACATGGATGCCATTTCAAACACGACACCGCCATAAGTCATCTAGAGCTTCTAATGAGAATTGATTCCTGGATAGAAAACCTAGAAGCTCCCGCTCAACTCATCAGTAATTAAAAAGTCATAATAATTCCAATTAGATTTTGAATTTTCGAACACTAAACCACCTTTATTCTTAATAATACTTACTACAAATAATTTAAGAGAGATGTCATTTTAATTTTTAATAATTCATGACTTGTCATATGGGACCAACTTCATCCGAAATTCTGTTAAAATTTGTCATATGTCATTCATATTTTCTCTACATCCGAGGGTATTTCAGTAATTTAATACTAATTTTAAAATATATAAATAAAACCATAAGCACAGAAAATCATTCAAACATGACAATAATTTGTGTATCACATGCACTTATGTCAGGCTCCACAATAGTTTGAATAAGAAAATTAATTAGCTTTTTTTTTCCCTGCAACGCCTGTATGGAAAGCTAGTTTGGTCTTGGTCCTTTTGTGACAGCACCTAATCTGTTGCTCTTGCTTCCCAAGGACGTTGAATTCAAGTTCAAACCTACCCGCCCAGTTGTCCACCAACAACCACAACCTCTCAAAAAACAAAGAAAGATAATACAAATAAGAGGAAAGTAGCTCGCAAGGAAGCTGTAACTCAAGTGATTAAGAGTATTTATTCATAAGTTTTTGAGGTTCTATATCCGATTCCCAAGAGGCAGTACAACAAATTTAGATCCAGAAAATAACGCAACTCAAGAGCAATAACTGGACCTAGGACGTAGACAATTCGTATTCAATCGAAAGAAAAGAAAAGGAACCAAAAAAAGCTACATTCAATTTAATTTCCTCTGGATTTTGGATATAAATATTCCAACGACCCCAATTCCTTTTCATTATTAAGGTTCAGGGAAGCTAAAATCAAAATGCTTGAATGTACCAGTGCTGATGAATGGGGCTCACCAACCACCCCATTGACTAGAAAAACTGTCCTGCAACCGGGTGTATATATCCCTCTTCCTATATCACTCGTCACATGACTCTAGTGTATATAAGTTTTTCTTTTTATCGACTCGAGTATATCACTCGTCAAGTGATTACTCAATCATGTGACTCCGGTATATGTAAGTTTTTCACTCTATCGACCCAACCCAAGAGTCAAAGCCACATGTGGAAACTTCACAAGTTACAACCCCAGTTTCAGAATGGTGTCACTACTTCTCCCTCTCTGCATGCAAAAAAACATTAACAACGGTTGACCTAATCCAATTGCTTTTTCACAAGTTGATACAAATTTTGTGGACAAACAACCTTGAGGGATTAAACAGTTAAGTAAACACGCTATGTTTTGAAAAACGCTAATTAGCTAATGTGTTCTCTATCTTTAACATTACTCAAAAGAAAAAACCATAATCTAGCAAGGACCGAAGGAAAATTGATGCTTTGCATTTTGCACCCAATTGTAACACTGATCGCCCAACAATGCATCTATTTTTCTTATAGAAAGCCAAATTGAAAAGCATTTGTGAACCATGAAATGTTAGCATGGATGCAAGTTCTAATGGAAACCCATGATCCTATTGATTACCGATAACACCGATAATGAGTATTAAGTGTGTATTGGCAATGGAAATCCACAAATGAGAGTAGAAGAAAAGCTGCATAGAGAGAGAGCTGCTTAAATTGAGGATACTGGGCAAAATTCCACATAATTTGATTCAGAAAGAGAGTTCTACACTATTGCAAGACAACAACAAGGTTGTGGCAAGTTCTAACTAAACCAACATATCAACCCCATAGATTTCTTTCCCTTCAGGAATAAACATAAGCCATGCATGCTCAAGGGTAAAGCCTATCTAGCTTTCAGCTTCTTTAGTCCCAACCTCCTTAGTTGAAACATTTGATTCTTTGTCACCATTTTCTTCAACCACAGTATCTTGGGTCTCTTGGCCTTCTTTTTTATCTCCTGAGACATCCTGCAGCTGCGGCAATTAATAAAAAGTTAATTCAGCTCTTGTGGTAGTTTTTTCACTCCAAAGACACAGCAATAGGTATGAAAACATACCCCCAAGTTTCTAAGACTAGTAGTAACATCTTCTTGCTGCTGCTGAAGAGTGGTCCTCAGTTCTTGGAATTCCTAGTTTCATTTCAATAAATCAATTTAACACAACATTCACATATGAAAATTAAACTTGGACAAATTTTGCTGGAGCAACACTTACGGATCGAAGCTGATCCACTTCAGTGTTGAGTGATTTCTTAAGTTCCGAAAGCTCCTGCATTAAGGAAGAGAAAAAGAATTGCAACAAGAAAGCCATATACTTATGAAAAAGAAAGTTTCAGGTCCAAGCAGAAGAGATAGTTCAAAATATAACCCTAAACTAATAGGAAGAGACACCAACCGCTGTGGCTTTTCCAAGTTTCAAAATAGGAAAAGAAGGCATTGGTTTATTGACGGGTATTCTTAACAGGTGAGAAGTTCAAGCATCTCCTCTCTCTCCCTCTCGCTCTTACTCTCATGCGCACACCCGCACACCCACACACCCACACACACAATCAACATCAACATCATTAGGTAAGTTATGGAGGCAGAAAGTGATTAGAAATGCTAATTAGTCAAATGCATACCAAACAACTTGACATTCATTGTGGACCAGTAGACAATCAATAACCTAACTTCAAATTCTGTCTCTTAAAGAATCCTTCAGTCAACAACACTGTGATTTAATGTTCCAATAAAAACTTCGATGAGTTAACCCTACAACTAATCATATTACGATCCCATAACTAAGAACTACACAGATCATGGAAAATGCCAAAGAACAAGCAACCAAATCTACATTAACCAATCCTATAAGCAAGAACAAATCATCCCACCAAGATGAACTATTAATGACAATGCCGTGTGGCATAGAAAAAGGAACCCAGAAACCCAAATGCATGCTTTTCAAGTGTGAAGAAACACAGTATATAAACACTTACATCGCGGTAGACCTTAACTTGAGTGTCCAATTTTGACCTCCAACTTTGCAAATCCTAATTACCCAAACAAACAGATAAACAAGTAAGCAGTTAGCCACAAATTTAAACTCAGACCTTCCATTTTTTTACAAACTAATGAAAAAAGGAAACAATAAAGAGAGAAAGTATTGCTCAGTTTCACCTGCTTCAACCCTTGAATTCTGCCAAGCAGCTCAGACCTCGATTCATTCAATTCCTAGCAACAAACACAACATTGTGGGCAAAATTAAAATGAATACCAAACATCTGTTTCCAGTTCCTTGATAATGTTGAACCCAAAGTTATAATCAGTTTTCTAATTCCCTCTGTAAACATTCTCAGCGCCCAAACAGAATATATCAAGCATAATTTAGAAAATACTTGTAAAAAATGGATCAAAACAAGTTACCGCAATTTTGGAGCCAATGGGGGTCAGATTCTCCTTCGTCTGCAACCTCACAAATTTCAAGTTAAAGCATTCATAAAAGCAACACAAATTAAAGAAATTTGAAAGAATAAAAAAAGGGGAAGATGAGCGTACGGATGAGAGTGGAAGAGGAGCGGCAGGGAGAGGAGCGATTGAGGAATCAGAAGAGTTGGCGGCCATTTGAGATCAGCAACGATTTCTTGTGTTGTTTGAATTTTGGGGTTTTTGAGTTTCAGTGGGAGAGTCAGTGGGATGGGAGGGAGGAAGAGCAGAGAGAGAGAGAGAGAGAGAGAGAAAGAAGTTGAATTTTGAATTTTGAAGTTTTGGAGATGTCAAAGAAGTGTTTACTGTTCGACGTTTTGACTGTTTGTTTCACTCTTTTCACACGCCGATGCAACCGGGCGCGGGGGCATCATGCGTGCCGTTTTCCTTTGTTTTGTTTTGTTTTTTGTTTTGGTTGTCCGTTGGGCAGTACTCTTCTTGCTAGGGCTGGACACGGTGCGGGTTGGGTCGGTTATAGGCCCAAACCGTACGCCAAAATAGGTCATGTCGGTAGGCCCAAATGTAAACCTTGCACCTGTTTTTTAGGCCCATTTTCGACTTAGTTCGAAGCCCGAATTAGGCGGGTTGGGTTGGGTCAGTTTGGATGTCTGCCGAGGCCCAGCAAAAGCAACAATTGAAGGTTTTTTTTTATAAAAAGTTTCCCAGGCCCATTGTTTTGTTTTAAGTCAGATTTCCAGACCATTTCAAATTTTCCAATTTCCTGTATATACTATATTTTCAAGTTTCTCCAGCTTTGCATATCTAAAGTTTATCATCATTCAAATACTTAAAAAATACCTTAAAATAAAACCTAAGAAAATCAACATCCGCCACAAGTCCAAATACAGAAATCATTATTACAGACCATTGCAAATTGTGAGAGTAATCTCAATCACAATCTGCATATTTGCAAAGTTCAAAAGAAAATCCAAATAAAAACAAATAAATGTATTTAGTGTAAAGCCGCCTATGTACTGACAGTGCTAAATCACAAGAATCCCAGTTGAGAAGATCTGATATCTTGAACAAGATGACCCTGAAACTTCCACGGATCTTAAAGCTTCTGATCTGCACCGTTCTTTGCTCTCATCCATCATCATCTTCGTTGCTCTGCATTCTGTGCTACAAAACGCACTCTCCTCTGTAAACCACACAGAAAACATATATTAATCACAAACCCAACATCAACTTCAACAACAAAAAACAACATGGGTTGAACCCATATACAACACCAGAAATTACCCATACCAAAAATAACAAAAACACAGCAAAAATAGCAAATAAAACAGCAACAATTCCATACCAGAAAATATGCACAGCCAGCAAGCCAATCTGGAAAAAATTTGTCTTTACCCTACGAAAATGAAATCCAGAGGTACAGCAATCAAAAATAAATATAACAACCGAAACTGTAATCAATCATACAAATTAAATTATTACTCAATTCCATACCAGCAATCAATTAAATTATTACGAAAAAGCAATCAATTAAATTATTACGAAAATTGAATGATGCATTCTTTCCAAAAATAACAAAAATAGCAAATACAACAGCAACAATTCCATACCAGAAAATATGCACAGCCAGCAAGCCAATCTGGAAATAATTTGTCTTCAAATCGTTTCCTATGATCCCAAAATCAATTATGTCCACCAAAAATCACAACAAAGTCATATCACATAAGCAGAATTAACAAAAATTGTAAAATCCCCAAATTTTTTAATTAGGGTTTACTGATATTAATACCTCAAATCAAACTGAGAGAGATCAAGAGAGACTGAGAGAGAGCCGCTGAGAGAGAGCGAGAGTGGCTGAGAGAAAGATAGGGCGAAACCGGCTGAGGGAGACTGAGAGATTGAGTGAGAAAAATCTGGAAAAAAAACTTGAGAGGAACTGAGAGAGGCAGAGGCGAGAGAGTCGAGTGATGAGAGAGGCAGAGTGACTGAGTGACTGAGTGAGAGTGAGAAAAATCTGGAAAACAAAGAAGAAGGAAGAACTTGAGAGGTTCGTGATGAG